GGATACCGTGTTTCGGCAAAGCGACGAGCTTCTGTTGATACTTCATCGCTATCAACCGTGGTTGTAGCGTTACCTTGCTTGCCACTTTTTCGCTTTGCCCCAATCGTGATATATCCATCATCTATGACATTTTGGGACACCTCCTCGATCCCTGTCGATAATTGTGGCAGTACACAAGATTGTGTTTGTGACTGTTGTATACCCAAGTTCGACTGGTTATTGGCAAATGTCGGATTTTGTTGGCGAATCACTAACGGTGAGTTACGTGCGCTAGTCGAACGCTGATTCATCAGCGCTGAAGTGGGAGACGTCTCTGGGATTCGGGACGTTACTAATGGTTGTTACTGTAGCTGGCGACTTAAATTAGAATTTGGTTCTACATTGGATATGGAATTATGGATAAAATATTGTGGGTGAGAGTGAGAAGAAACGCTCACTGGGTAGAATTGGTCATTCACGCTGTCATAGCCATATAGACAATCACTGGCATTGTGTATAACTGCAGATAACTTCTGACCTTGAAGGGTGGTCATCCCTATTACTGGAATCACTGAATTTACTCCAATTTTAAAAAAAAAGTGAGTTCAACACGTGACACACACGAAAGAAGAAGTAAATCTCCACTATATATCAATGTATATATAAATATATAGTATACAGTATATAGTATATATGTATATGTAGATATTAACAAACGCGTGCGTTCACGAACCGAAAAAAAGACGAATGAACAACAATAAACAAACACTGAATACAGACACGTCATCACTAATTAGCCTATATGATAAACTCGCGGATGAACGGGCAAAGTGGAGTGGGGGACAAGAGAAGGACAGTATAGAAAAAAGAAAAATTCTTGCAACGATAGGAACATTGTTAGCAAACAATAGACAAACGGTATGATGCTTTCTCCAACAGCCACTCCGTTTTTTCCTAGTTTATCTCAAAAGAGATGTTCTTTTGACTTTGATTATGCGTTACAGTTAGCTAAATGTCATCTATCGCATTGTGATTTTTCTTTACTATCAAGTATTGTGAAGGATTGGAACTCCTATCCTGTGTTACGTGGTTGTCTTTCAGAGTGGAACGCATGCGCTAACACTAATTTAAGGCCTTCTGTCGCAAATTTTAATGTACTCTTGTTTAACGTACGTGGGTTAGCGGAAAGATGGGAAGAGGTTTTACTCCTATTTGAAAAAGCTAAGTCAGATTGTTTGATTTTACTTGAAGTCGGTGCTGTCAATCTCTCTTTTATTGCGCAGATCTTTGCTGGTTTTCGTTTTTTCTATCAGGTTGGAGAGAATAGTTGGGGAGGAGTTTTGTTAGTTTTTCGCCGCGGAATCCAATGTTCACGGATACCGTGCAACATTCCTAATGTATGTGTCGTGGACGTAAAATTAGAACAAACCATTCGCATAGTGGGTGTTTATGCTCCCAAAAG